CCCCAAAACCCCAAAACCCCAAAACCCCAAAACCCCTTTTTTAGTATAAAAAACTGAATATGAAGAATTTCAATATTAGTAAACAAGATGAAGAACTTATAATTATAACCTAAATTTTCTAACAGTAGACAATTTTAGAAAAATTGTAAGATGCTTTACAGAATGAGTCCTGTTAATTTGCTTTAAGCTTGACTTGATTTTTTAATTATGAATAATAACAAAAATGCCTATTTCTTAGCTTATCATCATAGCTGGCTCAACTTGAGACACTTTACTCTTTAAGAGTCTATCTTATCCTCTAAGGGCAAATAAGACGATGATATAGAAGTGCTATACTTAGTTTAAAAATTCCAAACTTAAATAATCACGAAACCCTTTGTAATCTCCCTAAAATATCAATCGATGACTCCTGAGGACCTCTCATCACTAAAAATCTTGATGAAATCAAAGAGTACGAACTAAGTTTGAAAGCTATAAACTATTTTATAGACAAAGGCGAGGATAGCCATTGCACAGAAAATCTTTGGGTCTATAAAACAGTCACTCTTAATATCCACTTTAAAAATATTCGCGATTTGTTTACTGTAAATGATCAATTGACTAAAACTAATTAGGATTAACCTGAACTTTCTTATCTCTATTGAACTTCTTAGCAAGAGCTTTGCTGATCTAAGCGTTTGATTCATTGATAGTAATACTTATAGGCTTCTTTGCTAAAATTCTGACCCCATTAAGGGCCTCAACAATAACCTGGAGTGAGTTTCTTCTCTTCTTAGATCTATTTCCAAAATCACAATCTTCAAAAATGACTTCCCTCAGACGGCGTTCCTTCTCGAGCTGAGCACTTCTGCTAGGCTTCTTGGTATCCTCAAACTTGTCTTTAGAGTTGTCCTTCCTATAAAAGTTGTATACTCCAATCCAAGAAGGAAGGCTGCTTACTTATCCAAAAGCTGGAGTTCATTAATCTTGAAACTACAGTTGATGAAAACAAGGGTTTTGACCTCAAATAAGAACTTGGAGATGAACTTTTCTAGATTAAGTTCTTTACTAATGGCCAAGTTTTGGAAAGTGATCTTTTTCCTAATAGTACCATTGTTGTAGCACAGCTTTTTGAGGAGTACGTCTACGGTGAAAGTCAGAATTTGAGAAGATCTTGAGCGGAATTGGATGGGAAAAATAAATTTCGAGGATTATAGAAGATTGTAGAGGAAAGGTATCTTAGAGAGTTCTGGATGACTGATTTGAGGGGTTTAAGGTAGAAGAGAGAGTTTGATGTAGCTTTTGGTGAAATATGTGGGGTTTTAGAATTTTTGGAGAGAATTTTCAGCGATTTTTATCCTTTTGAGTATTTTTGCAAGAATTAAGAAAATTGGGCCTTATACTAACATTAAAACTCGATGAGTCAACCTTTTAAATTATATTTGTGCTATAATTTTTAGAGCCATACATAAGGTTCAAATTTAGCAATAAAGCTAAAACAATTATTCCTTGAGTATGCATAAAATTAAATTCTTAGTATTTTGTAAAAGTGTAAGTCTATCGAACACAAAATTAAGCAAAGAATTTACATTTCCCAAAATCCAAAATATTATAATCTAGCAAACTTAGCCTTAAGAATTTACTGAGAAGAATTAGCTACATAAAGAAACGAACTTAAGTTTAAGCTTGACAAATCACATTACCATTACTCTCCTCCAGATCATTCCATATTAGACAGAGGTGGTCTAATTCCTCTGGTAAATGCTCAGCAAGCAAGTCTCCTAAAATTTCTCCGCTTGAATTGTCATCGATGTTTGAAATCTACAAGAAAAGTTAGATAAAGATTGCTCTAATTGTTACATATCTTTCTTGAAACAAGCAAAAATTAAGGCACTCACTAGAAGCTTCTTTATCTGAGAAGGGAGAACGGTGTCCTGTGATGTCAGGCGTCTCGCAATAGTATTGAAACAATTTAAGTCATCTATATTGTCCAGATCGAGGTTCAAAATGCCAGTTTTGAACTTTTCGCGAACCATCTCCGGGAGAATGTCAAGGAACTCAGACAATGTAAAGTACTTCATTTGCACCTAAACATGATTAAAAATTTGTGCCATTCATTTTCTAATGTGAAAAAAGCCTGCTCTAAATTATGTTATCAGGATCCCAGAACCTTCTTTGAAGTTCAAATCAGTAATAGAATATTTAATTGCTCCACCTACATTATTTGTCTTCCTCGAAATCTTTTGCACCGATTTCTCTACCAAATGTGCCAGTCCCAGGTAGTCTGGATCTAAAGGACATATTTTAAAACCTACTTCTTCTTCACAATCACTTCTCCTTGTAAGTGATGACACTCCTTATCCATTCCCAACTATACCAACCAGTAACTCCCAGCCCAAATAACAAAGATCCCAATAACCCTCCCAAACAATTCCAAAATCCAAATATCCACTTTCTAAACCCCCCCTTCCATCAACAGATATCCCAAAACCCAACAGAACGCGAACAAATTTACCTAAAAATGCCCTATTTCCCTTCAGAACTCCCCGCAGCCTATAAAACCAAGTTCACTCAAAAAGAGAAGGCACAAGGCCAAAAATAATTCTTAAATTTTGGTCGGATTTTAAGAAGAGGTTTTACTAAGAAAAGTAGATTATTCCAGTGACACAGAAGGTTTAATGAAGAAATGGGGTTGATAGAGTTTATAGGATGGATTAGGACTTGAAAGGGGTTGAAATAGGGCAAGGGTTTGAGTTTTATGAGATGAAACAGATTTTGGGGGGTTAAGAGAATTGGTTATTGTTATAAACAGTTTTTCTATTGGGAGATACTATTGAGATGGAGTGGAGATTAGTTTAACATTTGGATACGATTAAAACACGTTTAAATTTTGAAAATTCTGAAGATATTGGGCTACAAGATTACAAGACCGCGCCTTCACTCCTAAATCACAAAGCACTTACTCCTAATACGACCCATTACGACAGTGGCGCATTAAGAGTTACTCAAGTTATCAAAAATTAAAATGGAGTTTTAACAATGGAAACGATATCCCCCAAAGTGAATTTAGGAAATTTTGGAGGGTTTAAGGGGCAATTTTGCACCTAATGTGGTGGTACATGAGGGAGAAGGGGGAAAGTAGGCTCAGAAGCTTTTAGAAGACGTTTGGTGAAGTTGGTGGTAAACAAATTGATTGTATGTTAAAAACAATTTAAAGATTTTTAGTTATAACGCTTACTCCTAGTTTATTACACTCTTCTTTAAGATCCTCTGCTCGGTCTATCATGGCTTCTAGATCATTCTTCTTACGGTTTAAGGTCTTTTCTGATTTTTCGTCCTAAATTTTAAATGTGTTTAAGAATCTTAAAATCACAAAATAAGTTCTAAAACAAATGATTTCACATAAAAATGAAAAATCTGTCAAAATGATCTTAGATTTATAAGATGCTTCGGTGAAAATTCTTAGGAAGAACATAATATTCCAAATATGGCTTAATTACAGAACTTTATTCTAGAAATCTTCGCTGCAAAATTCGGTGAAAACTTACTTCTCACTCATAGAGTGCTTGTTCAATGTCCTCTAGCTGCTCATAAAGCTCCCTCAGCTTTGATTCCTTAATTCTGAGGTTAACCTCCTTCTGGACATTCTTATCGTATTTTTTCAGATCCTTCTTTGTACAAGGCTCAAAAATTTTACCTGGCAAGCACATAAAAAGTTCATAATCTTCGATTTTCCCTGGCAATTTCTTATAAAAAGCATCTTCCTACAAAAAGGAGTTATTAAGTGAAGTAATACCTCAGCTTTAAGAAGACTAGTGGTCTTATCTACTTGAGAATTTTTCTTTTCCTCAGAAAAGTAGTATATAACCTGATCCTTTGAGTTAACACCGGTGCCTCCGTATTTCAGAATAGTGTTGCCACTACCACACATCTCTTCTGGGAGGCAAGTGTCCCCTCATCCTACGCTTGATGCATTACCCATTTATACTATTTCCTTTAACTTATTATTAATTTATGAATGTTTGCTGGGGTTTTGGGGTTTTGGGGTTTTGGGGTTTTGGGG